TGGCAGGCGGCCACTTCTGCTGGAGGCAGCTGCCAGAGACTTTTTGGCACAGAAAAGTGAAGTACCATTTTCTTTACTATTTTTCCCTTTCTTCTTTCTACAAGATTTTGTTGCTGCAGTTGGGAATTTTTCCACTCTTTCCTTTTGTAGAAGGACTATTTATTAGAGCTGCTGGCCCATTGTCAGTCCCTTTACACTATATTTCTTAGCTTAAATTTTATATTTCATGCATTTCCCTACATAATGCCTAGAGCATACCTTTCCTCTCTGCTTTCAGTGCTGTTAAGGGTACAGTCACAGTACTGAAGGATGACTTGTTTATAATCAGAAACCTTCAAGTTACTTGGTCTTCCAGCTAACTGCAGATATACGGTGGATGCTCCTTTTAACCTGCTGCCACCTAGACCATATTTCACATGGTACACATCCAGCATGTCTAGCCTTTAAATTGCTTTCTGACAAGTGTGCTTGGCAGATATCTCTCCTCTCTGGTGGCAAACACAACACTGCCATTCTTTGTGGCAGACTTGATTGTGCTGGTGTTTCTCAACTAAGCTGAGACAGATGGAAAGAGCTGCCCATGCCGTGCCCCTCTTGTTCTCTATTTAGAGTCGTTCAGTCCTCAGGCTCACTTAAGTTTCCAAAGAAGTTTTCACATGCCTACTGTTGTTATCTGCTACAGAGCGGGCTAAGGTGCTACTCAGCCCTGGTTATATTTGCAATAGTGCTGAAACAGCTTGCTTGTGGCTCAGTATCAACTAAACAGTCATTATTTCCAAGTACCTCTACTTAATTAGAACTACTGGAGCCTCTGGACATGGGGTGAGAGCTGTGCTTTTTAAAAGGTAGCTCTTTGTAACAGACAAGAAGCCTTTCCCACATCCCACATCCCAAAGAACTTAGGCAAGCACTAAGTGCAACAGAGCAGCTTGACAGCCCTATTAGAAAACAGCTTAGAGAAGTACGTGAAAAATACTGTATTCAGCTGAAGCTGCAGGGAACAATGGAGGAAAAATAATTAGCCAACTCAGAAATTGGCTAAGGCACTGAGTCTTCTGAGCCTTCTATTTCCTTCAAAATACAAAGGGATCTTTAAATACTGAGTAGTAAACAAGACTTTGTTTATATCTTATCTTAAAAAGCCACAAGCAGAACAGTGCACCCTAATAATATCTTCTGCTCAGAAGTTATTCAGAAGCAAGGGGGCCATCTGCTGAATTCCCAGAACCATTTTCTGCTGTATCCTGGAAGAGTTTCTTTGAAAGTTTCACAGCAGAGTCCTTTTCCATGTCAGCTTCACTAGGCTTGTGAAGCGCGGCAGTAAACCTTTAAGTAGGTTGGGCTGCAGGTGTTTATTACAGCAGATCTACCATGACTGCAAAAAGTAAAATCAGTACACCAGTAACTGTAATCTATTCAGGACTCAGAAATCTTGTAGACAATATCATCAGTCTGAGGTGTAAGTAATATCTCTAATTCATTTCCTTACATAGAAATTTTCAGAGACAGAAAATTTGCTCATAATATTTTCATTAAAATAACTTTTCAAATGAAATATAAAAGCTTAAAGCACAGAATTAAGTCTCTAAAGTAAGCAGCTTCCTTCTTTGGCTTACTGTCCATTATCCTTAGTAATGTTGGCATCATGTTCAAACTCAGCATTTCCTTCCCTGTGCAACTCCATCACAACTCCATTGATACAGGATTCCCTGCTTCTCATTCCACTCTTTCTGAATTCATTACCACAACTTCAGAGGCCAGCTTCACTATATTCATAGCTAAAGTCCCTCTTCCAATGTGTGAAAGTGGGTAAAGGAAAGGTAGAATTTCAAAAGATTTTATGACCATGTCACTACATACTGACATGCACAAAGTGCATTACCTTTGTAGTCCACACCTTGTTCTCCTTAGTACTGCTGCAGCTACAGGTCTCTTTGCATACCAGGAAAAAGGACCAGAATTGTTTCTGGCACAGTAACAACGAAATATGCTAAATAACTACTACACAAACACTCAGACTGAAAAAAATCCTTGTTCATATAACCATGAAATTTGATAAAGGTATTTAAAATATTCACCACTGTTCTCATTTCTTATAGCATAGCCTTAAGTCTACTGACATTTCATGGTCTGTTAATACAGAGCACTTTAAAAATAGAAAGGTACATGTTATCCATTAAAGACTTTGTAGGCTCATGCATAAGATCGCTCATAGTGTAAAAATATAAGATTATTTAATGATACAAACTATAAAATTGAATCTTCAAGGTTGCTTCCAGTTCAGCATTTGAAAAAAGACTGCAAGATGTAACTTGTATCTTTCAAAGTTATAATCGGGAGGTATTAAAAGCACAGCACAGGGCACACAGGTAAAGGCCACTTGCTCAAGACTTCCCTCTGATGCATAAGTGGTCTCAAGTTTAACTGAATAGTTCGAGGGTTTGTTTGCATTGTATGGGGCATTTTTCATGCTTGAAACAAGCTTACTACCTCAATACTAAATCTCAATATGCATGACTCCCACATCCATAATGCAAAAATGTATCAAGGTGGTGTTGTCTGCTGTTCACTGTTCCCAACTTTATGCACACTGATAGGCAAGAAGGATATCATCTGGAAAGTTATAAAGTTGTAGGCACGTACAGATGACTCACTGCTTTCAGTATTTAATAGCAAACTATCATCTTCTTTGTCAACTAAGCATCCCTTCTTTATCTCCTAAAGTCTGGACTTCTGTGTCAAAATAGAAAAATAGCATATATATACCAGTAGTAAATCCTAAATATCAAACACATAAGAGAGTTATAGAGCTAAAATTACCCAGCATTAGTAAAACATTATTGTGCACCTTTACTCCCACAAGCTGCCCAATACTCCCTCTCCACAGGACTCAGTCTATGACCTCAAAAGCCTGACTAGCTGCAAAGAGTAGCCACTAAGAAAGGCAAAAATAAAATAAAAAAAAAAGGGGAGGAGGGGGGGAGGAAAAAGAAATGTATGTAGAGAAATGAAAGTTTTCCCTCAAGAATTTAGAATGAAAGCTAAGGATTGCTAAAATTCAGTCCTTTATATAGAAATGGTCCCAAAACATATAAAGCATACCAACTCCTGGTCATATGAATCTCAGAAACAAGTATTTCTGTCATAGCGAAAAGCAGTACAAAGTGCTTTTGCTACTTTTTTCCAACTCTGGAAAGCTCATATGGAAGAACATTTCTATATAGTGAAAGAGGTTTGAGTTTATTTGCAACTTTGTAATTTTTTTCCTTTTCCACTAAACCCTGGATAGTTGGCTTAGAACTAAGATGCTTCAATGTAAAGCAAAACCCTTTTAAAAAAATGCATCAATAAGTAATAGGAAATATCAATATAACTTTTTTTGTCTTCTTCTCTGTTACTTGCATATGAACAAAAATTACTGCCATCTGATAACAGAACTATGTTTAAAGTGATGGTTCGCTAGTGAAATCAGACAATTTTATTTCATTAAGAATTTAGACTGAGAGGAGTGGTGTGCATACTCCTATGTAGGTAGTTAGAAAGAAAAGGAAAGAAATTGGAAAGTGAAGGATTAGGAGTGTAATGCTATTTGGAGGGTAATATATTCTCTTACTTCTGACACTACTTTACTTAAACATCAGTTATTAAAGTTCTACTAAATAAAAGTATTTACAATTAAGACTGTTCCCATTTTAGATTCTTAACGTTGTTTCCTTTGGATCTAATTTTGCACAGTTAATGTCTCCTGCATTTCGGGAGGTTCCACACACCAAAGTGGATCAGCCCCACGGGTCAGGGAACACAAACGCAGCTTAGCCACTGTCTGATCGATGATACCTGCAGCACAGTTGTATTATATTGCACACGACAGATACAGCAGTACAAGGGAAGAACCTGCAGGTGCTGTATCGGAGTGGTGGTGCACGACACAGGAGGGATTTTGAAAGTGTAATGAAGTATTTGTCACCTTCTGTCATTGCAAGTCAAGAAACAGAAAGCAGAGACTTTCGTTTCCTAAAGGTATTTTAGAGTGTAGGCGTGCTACGGGGCATAACACGGCACCGCGGAAGTCCCACCGTAGTTTCAAGGTGCCCCCGGTACTGCTGCCGGTACTGATGGGTGGCAGGTCCGTTCCCCTCCGCAGGTCACATACTGAGACCGGGCACAATGACAGGGAAAGTACAGTCGAGACTACGGACGCGGTTGCGATACCAATGCCACCGCGGAAAGGCGGAGGAAAGGCAGCGCGGCTCCGGCGGCGCCCGGGCGCCCTCCGCTCAGTGGCTCCCCAGGCACCCCGCTGCCCCTCGTCCCGGTGGCAGGGGCTCGGTGGAGACCCCCCCACACAGCCCAGGACAACCACCTGCCCCTACGAAACGCCTATAGCGACTCACGAAGACTGTCTGCAGTAGCTCAACGCGTCTGCAGTCGCCGCAGGACCGCCCCAAACTTCACGCGTGTTCTGCCTAGACGTCGGTCTCGACAGGTAGTTCACAACACGCCGCAGCCGAACTCGCAAGTGCGGTTTTTTTTGCAAGCGAAACCAGAAGGATGATCGCTTCCCTCCTCCGCCGCGTCAAAACCTTGGACAAGGTACTAAACCGCGACACCTGGAGCCGACACGGCGCCTTCCCCTCTACCAGCCTCCAACTTCCCTGCAAAGCGTCAGAAATTAACCTCGCCGTGAGCACGAGCCCGAGCCGCGGTCCACGGATAGCCCTAACTAAGCAGCAGCCCCCCCCCGCCCCATCGCGGAGCGCCAGCACCGCCCCCAGCCCCGTCCCCGCGGCCACACGCCGGCAGCCGCCGACGGAGAAACTTTTCCGAGCCGCCCGGCGAGGCGGCGCCCACGCGGCCGCCCCGCAGAGTGGGACCGAGCCGGAGCCCACGCACCGCGCCCCCCGCAGCCGCGCCGGCCGCCCCGCCGCGTGGGCATCCGCCCGCACCGCTCCTACCGTGCGGGGGGCAAGTGAGGGAGGGAGCGAGGAGGTGGCAGTTACCGGCGAGCGAGCGCCCTTCTTGCAGAGCGGTCCCCTGAAGACGCCTTTGATGCCGCGGTAGTGCCCGTTGCTGAGGTGCCGGGAGCTGATGACCAGGTAGCACGCCATGCGGGCCCCCCGGGCGGGCGGGCGCGGGGCGGGAGGGCAGCCCGGCTCCTCCGCGGCGGCGGCGGCGGCGGCGGTGCTGGCCCCGCCGGAGCAGAAGCCCGCATGAAGGAGCGGGTGGAACCGCAGCAGCGATCTCCCCGCTCCCGTCTCATCCAGCGCCCGGGTGAGCGCTGCCAGCAGCAGGATGCACTGAAGGCGGCAGCAGCGGCGGCAGCCAGAGCACATCTGACGGAGCGCGGAGGCCAGTCCGCATGCTGCTCCACGGGTGGGAGACGGGCCGGCGAGAAGAAGGGCAGACCACAACTTGCACAGTCCGCCGCTGCTACGGCCCCTTCCCTCCCTCTCTCCTCCTCCTCCTCCTCCTCCTCCTCTTCCTCCTCTTCCTCCTCCTCAGACCAGGCCACCGGCAGCCGACATCCGGAGGGGAGTTTCTCCGCGGCAGCTGGAGCGGCGACTGCTCCCCATGGCTCTCCCGTGGGCCGGGCTGGGTGGTGGATACCGCCGGGCGCCGCGCACGGTCCTCGCCGCCCCGCTCCACTCCACTCCTGCCGTGGCGCCGCAGTCGGCGCCGCGCCTCGCTCACCTCCGCCGGCGGGGGGGGAGGCGGTGCGAGGGGGCGGAGGAGGGGTAGGGCCGGAGCGGGGGCGGGGGCGGCGGGGGGGAGGACGTGGTCCCTCGCCCTGCGGGGAGGGGAGGCGGCTGCTGCCGGCGACCCCGGGCGTAGCGGGCCGGGGAAGGGGGGAAGGCGGGAAGGTGGCAGGGTGCGCTGACCGCCTTCCTCGTCCGCTTCGCCCAACTTTCCCACCTTCGGGGTCGGCAGGTAACGTCCCTTCCCCGCCTGCGTCTGGCTGCGCTTCCACTTGTCCCCCGCATCCCCTCCACTCTTCATCCTTCCCCTCCGTTGTCCCGCGGGCTGGCCCTCGCCCCGACCCTCGGCAGCCAGGCGCGCTGACGCGGGGACGGGAAGCACCCCTGGCGGCTGGGAGCGCAGACCGGCCCAGGACTGTGACGGGGCTGCGCGCAGCTGTCCGGGATGCCTGGGCACCCCTGGCTTGTGGCTGCGTTTGTCTCCGTCGTCCCCCCTGAAAGCTCGTGATTTTAGGTGTCATTTAGACCTAAATGATTTACGGAGTTATGGAAACCTTCCACCACTAAATAACTGGAACAGGTTAGGGTGTTCTTCTCCCCTTCCGCAAGACAGGCGTGATGTACCTCGGACCCGCCCGTGCATACTCAGCTTCTTCTCTTCAGGTCACAAGTATTGTCTCTGCTCTGCTGCTTGCTAGGTCGATAAAAATAAATCAATAAATCACAGCCTTAGTAGTCACCTGCAGATCATTCATTTCTTCGAAGTAGGTTGCTTTAAACTGCAGATAAGAATTGTTTCAGTTTTTTCATTTAATCCTTTAAAACCATATGCTTTCAGATATTTGGTGAATGAAACTGATAAGCCACAATCCTTCTATCTTTCTATCTATCCTTCTATCTTTCTATGAACCTAATGTAAATAAAAGGAAAATCTCTCACAATCCACCAAACTATATAGATAAAAAGGTCATGACTATTCAAATGACATTTTTGACTGCATAAGTAAAATAGCATTGTACAGTCCTAGTATACAGTGTTGTATACAGTGTTTCACAATAAATATTAAATTTTATTACATGTGTGTATATGTGTGTATATATACAGTCAAATATATTATCATGTATTTTGTTAATAAATACAAAAAGTTATAAAGAAAACAAAACACATCTGAATTTGGAATAAACAAAGCTAGAAGTAATGTATTAAGAACATCTTTATGTTAACCATCATACAATGTTTTGCAATGTAAAAAACTGTTAGGTGGGGGTCAAATCAACCTGCTAATACCAAAGTGTGAAATAAATAAAAGGACTTGGCTCTTTGCAAAATGTGTGGTTGAGCTGTGGGACTCCTCGGGAAAGGGTGTTGTGGATCATAGATTAAACAGTCCCATGAATCAGTACAGATCAGGCTTCGAAGCCTGGGAACAATACAATGCCCACAAAAGACCTTTGGAAGACTTTTCTGAAGCAAGAAATTTCACTGTAAAGTGAGGTTTGAGGTATTATACTACCATACTGAAAAAGAAAAAAAAAATTATCCACTGTTAATTTGGTGGCAAAAATGAGCTTATATGATGGCTTGCTCCTACAAGTCACAGCTATGTGAGTGACTTGAAATATATTCTTGTTGGCATATATGTTTTCTTAACTGCAACTTCTTTCTGAAATAATTGCTCTGCAATCCTGTTAAAAGTATTAACTTCACTTTGGATTTTGGTCTGCAGCTTTGCTTTCTGACTCTGCACTGAATACGTATCTGAAAGTAAAGACAAGCACCTTTTTGGCAATGCAGTGAACTTCCCAAAGTTGCTGTTTTACTTCTCTAGGATGCAGCTGTTGTTTCTCAGAACAGAAGGACAATTTACATCTCAACAGCTTGCACAGAGGTCTCAGTTCCTTTTCTGTTGTGAAAAGACATGAAAAGTCCTTTGCTCCACAGACCTGATGTTCTGTTACAAGGTGAGGGAGAGGGTGCAGAAGACTTACACCATATGTGTACAATGGAGATGTGTGATTGTGTGTTGCAGTGATGTGGACAGACGGGCCATGTCACCTTCAGAGGAGGTTCAGCACAAGCTGAAACTGTGCTAATGCTTTGCTGTAGACTAAGGGACAGTACTTTTCTCCTTAAACTTACTGTCTTCCACAGTTCATTTACCAAGATTGTGTGAAAGGGAAATTATTTGCCCCAGAGTAGACTGCACAGTATTCATTTTATCCTGCTGAGGAGGATGATGTGCTCAATTGACCCTGCTGTGAAAAGTAGAAGTCATTTTAGGCTCACTTCACTTTGCAAACTCAAGGGAATAGTTACTATGACCACCAATCTAACTTATAAATAATCTGTAGGATGCAAGCCTGAGAAAATGAGATTAGGAGTTGTCAAATGGAATGATTAGTTATTAATTATATCACTCCCTGAACATTTCCCCAAGTCTCTGGAGATGCTGCACCTCCTTCTCTTTCATCACAGGTCATACAGAAATATGAACCTTAACTATTAGTAGCTTCATCTGGGTCCAATCCTTCACTACTTTAGATCTCATAAAGTCATTTTCAGCTGAGCACAGTGAATGTAAAATACTACCTTTCAGAACATTATGCTTTCTTTGCAGAAGTATTAGTAGCTTTTCAAGATGCAAGGAAGTAGAGAAGCAGGTCAGCTGTCACTAAGAGAGGATGATTAGAATAACAAGATTCTCTCCAGTTCATCTATCCTCTCAGTTTACACAATTTTTTATCATCAATAAAGACTACTTAGCATTTATTGTCCCCCTAAAACATCTGGAAGAATTTTCTTTTTATTCTTTGTAGGGATTGTCCTCATTGCACAATACAGTGTCTAAATGAAATGACCAGCCTAGCTCTAAGGCTGCTGGTTCTGGTATAAATATAGTCTGAATATCAGGCATCAGAGAACTATATTAATGCAGTTATATTACTTTTAATGGTTGAGCTAATGTGTGTGTTTCTTTGCAACCTTAGATAGTACTTTATAGACATACCTGTAAACCATGTCTGCATTGAGAATTTTATTGTAAATAAATTGTTGTTCAAGGATTGCTCCTAATGAGTTCCACCAGTACACCAAGTCCATTATACTGATATTCTCTGTTATAGATGTAAAAACTACAGTTAGCATGATTTGCCAGCTGCTAACCTAAGCATTCCTCATTGTGGATACAGACTAGATCTGGTTAAGGGTCCCAGTCCTAAAATGCTTTCCACAATCCCTTTTCTGTGACTAGAAAGAACAATGACATCCTTCCCCATGCCTTCAGATATGAGAAAGTTTAAAGATGCAAAACACCTTCTGGCACTACACCTCTAGAAATTTTATTTTCACTATCAAACAAGAACAGAGGGTGTGTAGACACACAGCTTGAGTACTGTTTCAAAGTCTGATTATTCTTCACTTGAGTTAGTTTAACATGTTTTCCAAAGCAGAAGAACACAATTGAACCCTATAGTAAAAACATACTCTAATACTGATGTGATTTTTACAGGTGGTCTTTTTCACTGTAAGGAGGGAGTGGAGGAGGGAGATCAACATCTTGACAAGACAATTCAGGTATAAAAACGCACAATGAAGTACCTGACCTATAACAGCAAGGTCTTAGTAACTTAACAGTATATGTTACCTTCAGACATAAAGGAGATTTTCAAGCTGTAAATCAAGTCCTGGTAATATATTCAGATCTTTGGATTATAAGTTCCTAAACTACATGTCCCTCCACCCTCAGTTCCTCTAACCCATCCCCCCAACCTCTAACTCCTCTCCATTCTGTTGGTCCCTAGCTACAGCTAATTCCTCTGGGTTCACATGATAAGTGAAGTCCTGCTCCACTGACTGTAATGACAGTTTTTGAGGTCCACAGAATCAGTTTCTTTAGAAACTTTCAACGTTAAGTGTGTTCATGTATGGTAACAAGCCTGAAATGTACTATTGCATTAGTTGTCCTGTTATTCTACTTGAATAGATCCCCTAATATCCCAAAAGAATCATAATTATTTGAAAATGAGAACCATATCTTAGAAATAGTCAACATTTCTGTAGGTCGCATGAATAAATTTTAGTCTGAATGTTTCTTTTTTTTTCTCAGTGAATCATGTATTTTGGGGAATATTTTATAAAGTTTGATTCTGGTGAATATAAAAATACAGGGTAAACTGATCTGCATACATTTTTGTTTTGCTTTCAGAGAAATGGCAACTTCATATCTGCTCTTTTTTCCCCTGAATCTCAAAAGACAACAATTATAATTTTTTCCTTAAAAGAAGTATTAGTAAAACCTTCATTATACCTGTCTTTATTTCATTATTTAATTTAGGATATTTTAGACCTTCCCTATTTTATGCCATTTGAAGTAAACATTAAACTGCTTATCCAAACATTTTTAGTCCCAGGCTGACTCTTTTAATCCAAACAGTAGTTACGTTTGTCCTGTGAATCACTTATGTAAGCAGCTTTCTATTACCCAAAAGTTGACTTTGTCAAAGTTTATACACTTAAAGCATTGATGGCTAAGTTATTCTACTCTCTAGTCCGTGCAGAATCAATGACACTGTTTTTACTTTGGATGGAGCTTTTTGGAACGTCTAAGTGCTGAACAATCACTTTACAGTCTGCAGCTTGCTTGTGTAGCCAGCAAGTACAGCAGTCTTCATGATGATCAAACCCAAATGCATGTCTATACATCAGGGAAGAGCAGTAAGTCATGCCCCACTTTCCTTATAGGCTTATGCACCACTGGTTTTAAGAAAGTCTTATAGCTGAAAAAGAATCTAATTCAAATAACTTATCCTACTCTAACATTCTTTGATATGTCTCTTAAATGACATTCAGGAACCTCTCCATAATACTTTGTCATTAAAAAAAAAAAATATGATATTTCCTTTGGAATTCTTGTGAGAATAACTCAATAGTGTAACCACAGTCATAGAGAAGAACACTAATAGGTGGTATTGGGGAAAATCACTGATTTCATAATCAGGTAAAAATATGCAATAAATCTATTGTTTTCAGAAGGTTGCAGGACATGCCATTCACCTAAATTCACAGATCAATAATAGAAATAAGATATTGACCCTATATTAATAACAGCTCAGTATTTCCAGAGTATGTGTCCAAGGATGTAACTATGTCTTCCATTTTCTATGCAGAAATAATATTCATTGGTTTCTTCTTATTCTTAGCTATATTCCTTACCTAAATTAGGATGGATATAGAAAGAATAATGGTAAGTAGCCACTGTTATGAAAAATACATAACAGAGTGCCAATTCTGTTTTAGCAGCAAATCCTTTCTTTCAGGAAGATGATATATGAAAGGGATGAAGGTGTTTTCATACACTTGCTAATTTATTATGTTTGCATAAATATTTAATACATCAATCTCTTTCTACAGGAAGAGTATGGTTTGCATTTCAAATCTTGTAGTTTTCTTACACTTTCTTTTGCCTAAATCCTACCAAAACTTTAATTATATGCTCAACATCCACAAGAAAGGTAATTCATGTTTTTTATTGCTTGTTGATGGTCATCAGACTGATCTCCCAAGGTTAGCATTATATGCGCTAGTGGCCTTAATATCTAAAAGGTGAGTAAAGTTACTGCATTTTTATTATTAGGAATTAGAATTGAATATTAACTGGAGAACAGATATCTTTAAATTACATTAAAATAATGTGAAGAGATGGAAAATATTGTCTAAACTCTCTGTAGCTAGCCATGATGTTATCCACAGATATCCACAGCCGGAGAGGCTAGCAGCATATATTTCAGACACAGATACATTAATTTCAATAACTGACATAACCACAGCTGTCAGTCCATTTTCCAACTCATACTCATTTAATTCAAGGAGTGCTCCAAGGACAACTATACTGAAACAGCCTAGGAGCAGGAGAAGACACCTATTGCAAAGGAATGATGAAGGCAACTTCCATCATGTAGATTTTTCCATCTGCAGAGTAAGACATCTCCTTTCTCTCAGTATTATCTGCAAAAGTATCTGCAATCTTACACTGCCACAGAGAACATACTTTCACACTTACTGTGTGCTCATACACACCTGCAATGATATCCATAGACAATTTCAGCTTGGTAAGTTACTATCACCCTTTTTGTCTGGCACTAGCATTGCCATAAGGCAGCCATAGACTGTCAGCACACATATGTTATTTCTTAATCTGGTTGCATCTGCAGCCATTGAAGCCTATTAATTGTTGTAAGATCATGTACAGTTTATGAAGGACTCTCAAGTCACATTGTCAGAGGAAAAGTCTCTGCCTTTTATGAATTGAATGAGAGTTCAGCTTGGGAAAAGAGAGTATCAAGGGGGAATTGTGAGATGTCACACAAGCTGCATAAAGGTCACTAATCTACAAACTCTATACATCCTGATCCTAAGACATAAGTGACAAGTAACTGCAGATACGTTCTCTGGGCAGAGGGCCACTTAGTATGGTGGTTCCCTAAGCCAATTCAGATTAAAAAAATTACAAAGAGAAAACAACTCCTTTGCCTAACTTGAGAAGCAATAAATGAATATAGATTCTGCTGAAATGCCAGCAATAAAATGCATTTTATATACTTATATAATTATTTTACATAAATATGAATCCCTATTGCATATGGATTATTTTATATATGTATAATTGTGTCTGATGTCCGTATATTAATGGAATAATATATAAATACATACTTAAATGCTTTAAATGTCAACATCTATACCAATTTATTTCCTGTGCTGTTTTTCTCCACTGAAGCAAAGTGACAATTTATTCTATTTTTTGGGGGAGCTCAGTGACAGGGAGGTGATTTAGCAGTCTCCAGCAAAGCAATACAGAACTAGAGTCTGAGATGTTCATACTCATTAAACCAGTGTATTACCTAGCTATCTCAGATCTTTATGTTTCCATGGAAGTATTTACTATGCACTACCACAAGATCACCCTGTTAGTTCTGTATTTAACCTGTTGCCAGTATTTCATCATCTGTACACATTAATACTTCAGTGGGCAACCTTTAAAAAGGCTTTACAAAGAAAGATATGAAAGGCACAGCAGAAATTTCAAACTGACAGTAGCATTTTTCCGCTAGAATCCTCTGGAATTCAGAAGTCCTTCATGTTATTAGGTATCTATGAAGCAATAGTTCTTTTAAAGACTGACACCTACATATTTACTCTAAAATAGAAACGTATACTAAGAGGTCTTGGAGTGTATTATGGCCTATTTTTGTTCCTTAGTAGGTTTAAACATTTCAAGCATTCTGTAACTTCCATTCAAGTAGTAGCAACATTTCTTTGTACCTTGAAGAAATTTGCTAATACTCTTTTAATCACTGAAATTTCATTAATAATTAGTAATATAGGAAATATTCAGTTAAATCAAAAGGTGAAATTCACTTCCTAGCAAAAAGCTAGCACAAAAATTGTACATCTCCTACCTCTCCCATGGTATCTCCTAAAATGTTGTTAAGTGTCTCATGACCTTGCTGGCATCAGCAAAGGTGTGGATATAATCTGATTTCATCCATAGTATGTTATCTATCAACTTGCTTATGGCCAAAAATGTCACAGTTTTCTGTGCAGAAATAAAATAGATGTTTGTTTCAAATAGAAATTTAGTCTCTATTTTTGTGGTCTTTTTGTGTTCTAATTATAACAGCCTAATTCATAAATAGCACATGCTGAGGTTTTGACAGTGAATTTCTGATGAAACACAGAGTACAAATTTTAATTACATGCAGTTCTAATACAGTGAGCACTGCAGCATTTCTGTCATCTTTGAAATGGTAACAAAATGTAAAAAAAAGTTTTTTGAAATATGAGCATGAAGGTAATGAGATCAATAAATGTCAGCTAGAAAAAGTAATCACAACTCCAGAGACTCACTAACCTTTCTACAAATTCCAGAAATAATAGACTAGCCTGGATGAAGAATCTCTAACAATGGGAAACAGATACAATTATAAGGGGAAAGCAAGCCAAAGACTGCTGAATAATACCAGAAGCATTGCCTTTTAAGTAAATGAGAGAAAAACAATCAATATTTTTGCTTTTCCTCCTGTGAGCCTCACCAATGCACTTTCCTTTGCACCTCCTTCTGAATTTGAGAATGAAATACAATGTAAACGCGTATGTACACCTAGAGTAAAAATATGAAATATGGCATAAAGTGCAGTGAGCGATAACGGTTTTCCAAACTGATGGCCTGATCCTTCTCTCAGAGAGACAGGAATGTTAGAACATTCGTTGACCTCCATATAAATTCCAGATATTTAACACTCCAAAGGTTTGGCGGTGTATGATTTCTAGACACAATTTATGCAAACCCAGAGCTTAAGCGTGAATTAATTCAAGACAGGAAACTGTGTGTTACGTTTTAATGCCCCTTGGTAGAATCTAACTTCTATAAGACAAAACATATTTCATGTGCGAAGTGTTAGATTAAGTAATATTTGAAATGGTAATGTTGGTATTTTTAATTTTTTTTTTTAATTAAAAATACAAGAGGCGTTGAACCTGAGGTGAAAATGGAAAAAAATAAAACACTTTGTCAAACCTATCCAGATAGGCAATAATTTTTTGTTTGAATGAACCATACCATTTTCCTGAAAATATATTAGCATTTTTTGAAGGATATGCAAAATGCACTAAGGATTTATGTATATAACACACTTATTTTAGGGAAACTGACTTTTAAAAAGAGGGGTAGAGATAACATGGAAATCAATTCTTATTTTACTGTCAATTTAGTCGTTTTTTTTTTTTTTTCCTCAGCATTGACTGAACCTTTTTGGATTTTGATACTGAAAATGGATGGGCAGAGATTAAGATCCAGTCATTAGTGTCCACTCAATGTTTGCAGGCATATGTGTGCTATTTTTAAAATTATGATTTTCAAATGGTAAGACAGGGATAAAACCAGCTGGAGGTATTAGCTGTTTGCATTTCATTGTTCAGGTGCTAATCTGAAGTAATAAATGCAAAAGGGTCCATGTGGAACACACAAAGTATTCCAGTATCACCATTAATTTTTATGTTCAATAGTTTCTCCTTTCTATCATTCTGTATGTCCTGTTGAAATAAAGGGAACCGAAGAACTAAAGTACTATTCTTGAAATTATGTGTCTAATTCCATACACATAGATTTTCTCCTTTGCTTTGCTTCAAACTACTTTTTTGTGTGTGAGTATTCACTTATGTACATGTGCATATAACATTTTTTATACATAACATTTTACATATATACACGTGTATATAACATTTTACAAGCACACGTATATATGTATAACTGTAGGTATATATAACATTTTGCAGGACTGGAGTTCCTGGAGAGAAGTAGCTCTGCAGCTAGTATGCAACCCAATATAAAGTAGCAGATACCTGTGATAACAACTTTTTTTTTTTTTTTTTTTTTTTTTCAGCATAGAGCAGAAGAAACATGCATCATAGAAGCTGGTTGTTGAGGGCCAGTCCAGGAGCACAAACTGGATTTCAAGTCAGTGTTATTGCCCGAGACTTGCCATAAATGTTCTGTGGCACCAGGAATATAGAAGAACTGCAGGAAGGGATGTGGACAGGAGCTTCTCTGCTCCAGCCACCCGTGGCTGTGGGAGCAGCTGTGGATCTGTGGGTGTACATTAGATGACTCACAAGTCTCTGGGTAGCTTTGGAAGTAGGTACTGTGTTACAAGACCAGATATATGTGTAACGACATAGGAGCAGCCCAAAGCCAATAGCAGTTGCTGGAAATATGCTGAATCCAGGTAAGGAAGAAGCTTTCAGCATTCAGCTTTCAGAAATATAGACAGGGTAAGTACCAGTTAAAATGCTGTGTTTTGCATTCTATCACCCTACAAAACACAAAACTCAAAACAAGTGCTGTGTACATGGGCACCTAGCAATGGTTTAGAAGCTATGTTAAAGGATAAAAATCTTTTCAGCCTATAATTTTAAATGAAGTGAGTTTTAGTCAAATCAGTTTTTTGCCTGTAAAGGCTTTGCTGTGGCATACTCTTTCTCATACAGGATTGCTCAGAGCACACTGAAGTAAAACAGACTGCAGAGAGCTGCAGAAGGATCCTGCAGGTGACAAAGCAGCAGAATAGGAGATGAAGCCCAATGTCAATAAACACAAAAACCACTTTTCCCTTGTATGGGAAAAGTAACTTGAAGTACTCATCCAAGATGTTAGTTAATTACCTATTGCCACTCCAGGAAGAAATGCTAAAGTTCCTGGATAGGGTTATACAAAAATGTCAGATCATTGCATAGCAACAGTCAAAAATGCCAGTGAAATGTTAGAAATTGCAAGGAAAGCATTAAAGGACAAAAAGAAAACATTCCAACAGGTTCTACAGAGCAAAGGGAAACTAGGTTGGGACTGGAGAAGTAGGAATGGTGCACAAGCTGAGCTGTGGATTACTGTTTCCAATTTCTCAATACGAAGAAGGATTAAAAAAAATCATTCAGAAGAAGCAAGCTTAAAACGAACAGAAAAAAGTTTCTTTGTACAATCCATCAGATTATGAATTAATTGATATTGGGGGTTTGTCAGCAAAAATATAAATGGAGTCAGTTCCTTTCCTGCTATTGAAGAGAAAGGTCGAAATGCAAATATGAAATTAAAAGGTGCCTAAACTACTGATTTGCCAGAGACTAGCTTGCTAGGAGAGCACAGGCAATTTTAAATTTTCTTGGTTCATGGTACTTTTCTCTGATGACCACTGTCAGGGATAAAATACTGGATATCACAGCACAAAAGTTTTTATGTTGTTAAATTACAATGCAGTTATAATTTCTGGTCTGAATGCTGTGCTTATTTGAATGCTGGGTAGAATTGTTATTCAAAGTGGCTTTGACAGACTGAAAACACAAGCTGACAGAAACCCCATGAAGTTCAACAGTTACAAAAGCAAATTCCCACAGCCAGTACACAGTAACTCCATGCAACAGCACAGAC